ATATATATATATATATATATATATATATATTATAAATGTGTATGTACTTAGCCCAAAACATTTGAGCAGTAGTGTAAATTTATATTATTTCATATTTAAATACGTTATATTTAAAAAATATATATTCTATTTAAAAATAATGTAAACATTTTTATTGTATATAGCATTGTATAAATGAATAGCATATATATAAGCAGACAACATCAAATATCTGCACAACTTCTTTGTTGTCTGTGTTTGATGACATGAAATGTATTTGACCAAACAAGATCAAGTGCAGTGAACAGGTATCTCTTCTGCTCTGTTTGTTGGGAGCATACAACACAACGTATGGACCCTGAGACTCAGAACACAGATAAAAAAGGGACAGAAAAGCAAGACAGAGAGAGAGAAAACTCAAATGAAAAAGACTTACCCTGCTGAAAAAGACTTACATATGCTGTGCTCTGGATGCTGGCCCCAAGCATGGGATGCTGGGATGTCAGTGCGCCACCAGGCTTTTTACTACATTTAAGTTTGTCTGGTTGACGGCAAGTCTATGTTGGTCAGCAACAGCAGACCAGCATAAAACAGCATGGAAATTCATGCTGGTCTTTTCAGCAGGAAAAAGTGCAAAAGAGAAGGAGTGTAACAAGTTGATCCCAGGTTTGTGTGATTGCTCCAATTTACAGCTCTGAGCTAATTCACCCCACTAAAGCCCATTCTTCCCATACGTGCATGAGTGTACCTGATGTCTGCCCCCCAGTCTCATGGCTAGCTCCTGTTTGGTCCTGGTGTAACATTCTCTCAGTCGTCGAACATCAGGGGAGAGCTACGGGTATCATCACGGCAACAATGCAGGCCATGGGTGAGAGCGCAATAACATGGCAACATGGAGGAGAGGAAGGAATGAAGGGGTAAGCATAAAAGTGAGGGAAACGAAGTGATGAGGGCAAGGCAAAATCAGGATCAACCACAAAAGCATATGCAAGAGAAATGACTGGAATCAGGGGCATGGCTTAATTTTTAAGTCAAAGCAGTGTCGGATAGACAGAGGAAGCTTAGATTATGACAAAACGTGCACCCTCGCTAATGTGAATCTCAGACAAGCACCTACTCATTTCCAAAACAAAGCCACAGGCTGCATCCAAAACGGAGGTAGGAAGGCATCACATCCAAATCCAATGTTTGTGAAACATGCTGTCGAATAATATGCTTCCATCTGATCTGTTTTCAAAGAATGAACCTAGGCTACCTTCAGTGCCTCTGATATCCCTGAATCTTGTGTGTGCAGTTCCGCAATTAGATGATGGAACATTTGAAAAAAAAAAAAAAACTGGAAGAATATTTAAAACAAAAAAAGGAGTATATATTACCATGTATTTATTTAATCAAAAATACAGTAAAATGGTGAAGTATTATTACAGTTTAAAGTAGGGCTATCAATAGATTAAAATTTGTAATCAGATTAATCACACCCTTTTTGTACACACTCATGAAATTAAGCATACAAGATTTAGCTAGGTTAAGATGTTTGTTTTGTCATCAAATCTATTGCTATATCCAGCAGAGATGTCTTTCCAAAAAAGGACACTTGGAGACTCTAAAAGGACACCAAAGAACCAAATTATAAGTAGTCAAACTGATAAATTTATGCACAGATTAAAAATGTGTATACTAGTATGTGTACAGTAGACAAGTCAAGTTGCGATACCGAACAGGACCACATGGAGACACCAAATAAACCCTAAACCAGGGTTCCTCAAACTCAGCTACCTGTGATTTTCTAATGATCCTGAAGACACTGATTAGTATGCTCAGGTGTGTTTGATTAGGGTTAGAGCTAAACTCTGCAGGAAAGTGGATCTCGTGGGCCAGATTTGAGGATCCCTGCCCTAAACCAACCGCTTTGAGCTGATTGCTTATACATACTACAGTACACACACAGATCCATTCATAATGACTAAACACAGCAACATACACATGACGAATCAAAACATCCAGAATGTGTGTAGAAACAATGTGAATGTACTGAAATGACAGAGCTTGTGTTTTAAAGTGAAACATTTGAATGAATAATTTACTAAAAACGTAACTTGATTCTCTCTTCTCTCTGCCTTCTCTGATGTAATCAGCCTGGTTTTCTTTACATCAGTGCTGTTTTGGACTGATTGTTTAAATGCACTCGCTTACTGAATCATTGGACTGGACAGAGAAGGGAAATCTGGTTAAAGGGTTAGAAAATAAATTGTGTTTCAGCAATTTTGCATTATGTTAAATTACTTTAACAAGTTAAGGATTTTTGAACTAATCGTGTGCATTAACACGTTAATGTTGTCAGTCCCCACTTTAAATGTAACAGTTTTCTATTTTAATGTATTTTAAAACGCATTTATTCATGTGGTGGCAAAACCACATTTTTAGCAGCCGTTATGTCAGTCTTCAGCATTGCATAAATCTTTAGTAATCATTATAATATACTGATTTTGGTGTTTAAGAAATATTTCTTATTATCAATGTTGAAAACAGTTTTTTTTTTATGGATTCTTTGATAAACAGAACTTTCAAAACAACAGCATTTATTTGAAATATAAACCTTTTGTAAAAGTATTTACTATTACTTTGGTGAATTAAATGCATCCTTGCTAAATAAAAGCATTAATTTCTGTCTTAAAAATCATATTGTCCCCAAAATTTTGAATTGCAGTGTATAGTCATAAATATTTTATATCTATTTGTACAGAAAAACAGACACTGCCATCAAGTATTTCAGTCACTATTATTTTTTTCTCATAATAAAACTGTCTGTTTCTGATGCAGCTACAAAGACCAAAGCCCAATTATCCAGTACTGTAGTGAAATCAACTGTTGCTTGTTTGTCCTTGTGAGTTCATTTTAATCTTAACAAGCCCACTATAGGAACTCTTTTGACACCTTTCGAAAGAAAACCATTCCTTTCCAATTATACATGCACTAAAAAAGCTGGAATAATAACTGTTAAACTGAGCTCAAATCACTGTGGTATTAGACTCAGCAATCTAATTCTTGCTTATCGTGAGTCGTCTGGCAGTAGGGATCTTATGGAGCCTAATTCAGTGGAGGTAAAGGTGAGTCTGGCCATGGGAAATTGGTTTCTGAGGGACTGCCGCCTGGGCAAAGTGTTTTCCATACCAGTGTGACCTCATGAACGTGTAAGGGCAGATAACACAGTGCACACTGAATTCAAATTCGCAGCAATATAGAGCAGTGGAAAAGTGTGTCAGTTACACCCAGCGTTAGTAGCGATTAGGCAAGTGCTGGCCAACACTGCACTCTTGTGGTGGCAAAGCACACAGCAACCCTCCACAGACCATTAAAGTATCACAAGAACCCGCATCTCAAATAAATCATCAAACCAGGTACCAATCAATCAGCCTGCAACCTTGGAGGGTTTAAATCTTTTTATGGCCCTTTGTGGTTTATCATTATGAGGAATGTGAAAATGTGTGAAAATAAATCAGATGTTTGTCGGGATGTAATTATTGCAGTTGTGGGGAGTCTTGAATTAACACACACACACACACACACGCACCTTGCTGCGGGTTGGTGCCCTGTCAGAGTCAGACTGCTCATCATAGCTTTCAAACTCACTTGAGCTCCAGCCATTATTGGGCCCTTGCAAGCCCTCCTCTTTCTGTATGTCTTCATAGATCAAGTCAGCTGACACACAAAGCAAAGCAGGTTTCAGTACAGTCCTGTAAATACCGAAGGACTACCAACAATGATGTGGCGATACAAAAATATCTATATAACACAAAGATGGGTGTTTCTTCAACCACAGGCACTTTTAGCCCTTGTAAAATAAAAAAATCTATATATAATTTGATAGTGTAAAAGTATATATATATATATATTAAAAATGTGATTTCCACCACATCTCAAATTAACAACTGTGTTTGATATCTGTGTTGGAAATAACACGATTGGCAAGATTATCTATAGTAAGCAAAAAGCACTGTCAATGTCACCATATTATGTTGTGTTACATATTTTATTTTCAACGTTAAAAGCAACCTAATAAAATATGCATGACACTAGATGGATGGCTGAAATGTAATCAAAGTGTTTGACTGTTTATCTTAATAACTCTTGGAGGCCTGTCAATTGTATAAATACATATATAATCAATATGTTAATAGTTATAAAATTTCATTAATTTCATTTTTTAAATATTTCTACATTCTACATTTCATTTTATATGAATTACATTAAAATCTGATTTGCAAGCTTTAGCAGTAAGCAGTATATATCTATTTTTGTTACACAATAAATATTAAAATGGATTATGTTTTTTCAATCTTTGTTTAGATTATCATCATTTGTAAATGTGCCAATTAATATTTTCTAATGAAGTTTCATATTTTAAGATGGAACACTAAGACCAGAAACAAGAGTAAAACTATCAAATATATTCAAACCGTAGAAAGCTTAATTATAAAAGTATAGTAAATAATTTTCAAGTGTTCTAATATTTAACCTTGTAAAAAATAGTTCTAAATATTTATTATAAAAACTAACCCCTGGTACACAAATAATGCTTGTAGAGGAAACACCCAGATACATGCAACAACCAAACAGTCTTGGAGAACTGACCCAAACACAATCTATGACTGACCTTCTCCTGAAGACAGATCTTCTTCACAGGGTACATCATCATAGATCACCTCCGGACCAGCCGTCTGGTGTTCTGAATCAGCAGAGGTCTCACCTAAAAAAGGGGGAAAAAATAATAATAAAATAAAAAAGGAAATGCACGCCTAAGGACTGTGAGTGCATTAGTTTGGATGCGTTTACCATATAAAAGCAAAGAAAGAAGCCTATGAATTTTTGTGAACAGTCCCTTGACAGAAAATAGAGAACAGAGCATCAAAAACAAAACTGTTCTTCTTTGCTTGCATTTTTTATAGGATTTTATGATCTGAGAGCTGCTTCCAAAAAGCTGCAGTGCTGCTTATCCAAGCTAACACAGATATGCTCATAGCATTACTTCTTGTGAGTTTTCTACTGTTTTTTGTGCTACTTATGTGATTGGCTTTACCCCGTATTCTTAGTCAACATCAATCGAAACATGTCAATGAAACTGAACTTGGCGTGCCACATTCTTTTAAAAGATTTGTTGAGAACAATTTCTTCTTAAAACTACACATGCTCCGTTTCCAATTCATCAGACAGCTGCACTCAGAGGAAAAACACTGAACTAAAGGCAGGTCATACAGTAGAAAGCTGGCCCTATTTTAAACTATATGCTACAAAAGGAAGTGAACTTATCTGACAATCTGTCACCATATCAGAATTCAGAAAACCAAACACAACTGCTTTTCCAATCGGAAAGAAGATCAGGGTGGAAACAGTAGAGACATTACAGTAGAGGGATGACACATACAACTATTCGAAACAGCCCAAAATTCAGCATTTAGTAAAACAACACATTTTCGTGAGGTTTACGTTGCGGTTCTACGGAGCCAAAAGGACATTTGCATGGGGGGGAAAAACTTTAGCGTTTGTAGAATACAGCAAAATGTTCGCTCAACGTTTATGAAGGCCTATCAGTTCCTATATTTTTGTTTTTCTAAATAACATAACGAAAAACAATCAACTTTTTCTAAGTAGGCCGCTGTTATTTTCTCTAAAAGTTCTGTATCATTTTGCAAGAAAATCCACAACGTTTGAAATATACAAACATTATTCTAGCTGTTACAATAGCAAAACTATGTAATTTTTACTCACCCTGGTCTGCCCAAACCTGTATGACATTTTCATCCGTGATACACGGGGATGACAAGATGGTGACCAATTAAGCTCCAAAAAGCCCAAGATAAAAGTGGGCTTAATAACAGCAGGCCATGATTCGGTTGATTTAGGTGAAAGACTGACCATACAGACAAACCTGCCCAACCTGGCGTGTTCGCGAGAACGTCTTTGTTTACTTGCAGACAAGTGCAACAAACATCACGCCAATAAATGCGAAGAAACTACACACTATTTGTTCCGTCTATAGTCAACGTGGTAGCCTACATTTGAACAAGAACAAAATTGTAGTATGTACAATAGCCTGCTATAGAGGACTATCTCGTCTTCACACTTCAAGCATGTGAATTTCTAATGCATTTCTTATGCGCACGCGAACTTCATTTTTTCCTTCAAATGTTACTTTAGGCTCCGTTCTGATACACCATTTTGTATAACACTTATAAGTGCACACGCGCGAATCCGTTATGTAAAACTTGTACAAATGATTTATCTATAGTGCATTATTGTTTTTACATATAATCATGAAGAAAGAAACAAATGAAGCCAACAGTGTCACTCATTTTTGAATATTCAAGTATTACTTAGTATTTAAACACTATAACTGTGAGACATTTGATATTTTTTTTATCTCTTACCTTCAGTATTTTGTGCTGGGCTTGGTCTGATATCCTCTGTTCCTGTGTCAGTTTTAACAGTGTATATTTCCCTCTCGGTCTTCACCTCAGTGCAAGTCTGGTCTTCCTTTTCCTTTAAGTCCTCTGGTGCAGCAGAGACTGTGGAAGCTTGGTCTCTAGAACATTCCCCAAAAATAGAGCCATATTATTGCTGACCTCTCAAGGGTATATAACCGTACTGAGATCAGCTCAAGTCTAAGACTGGGTGGTGGGTGGTAGGAGAGAAGGGGAAGAGAGAAGGAGCCCTCCGCCACCCCATATAGTGAGTATCACAAAAAGCACTTGTGTTTCATTATAAATGCTACAGTGTTTGGTGTGGAGGACTTAAGCTTTTGAAAATGGAAATGGGGTAGAGTTTTCACAGTACAGAGACAAAAAACCAATGCAATATGAGTTATTTTATGTTCATCGAATTTGATTAAATTGAAATAAATGTTAATAATATTATACAAATATTAGTACTGCAGGCCAGTCAACCCAGTAGTGGTGGTACTTGTTATGTCAACTTCATTTAACTACAGTAAATTCAAATGTCTATGAGCTGTGGTACACAAAAAGTGTTAGTTACAAGGAAAGAAGATGATGGAAAGTCTGTCCATGGAATGATGTTGTCATGTTACAGCATTTCTGGTCATTGAAATGTATTTCAGCATTCAGTTTCAACAGTCTACTACACGTTTTAATAGTGCTTTTGAGAGCCATCATCTATTGCCTCCAATGACACATCATCACACATGCTTATATCAATTCACACCACCCTTTACTTAAAATTTTGAGGGCAGTGATGCACTTCACATGCAATTAGGTAAACATGCCAAGTGCAAAATATAAATAAGCTCGGTAACTTCATAGAAAGCATGACATACATCCTTTTAACTGCAGTTATTCCATGTAAAAGTGTGTGGAATGGCATCATAAAAGCTGGCTGTCAGAGCTAGTCTCACAAGCTCTCGGTTGCTAGGGGAAAGAGCAGGTGTTTTGCAGTAGAATACACATAAGACAGCTGTGAGCTCTGTGCGTCTCTTCTCACTACAGATGTATATTTTCTTTTCCACTCCTACAAAACACACTTCTCCCCTGGTTAACGAGGGAAAGATGTTGCATGGGTATGTTTACCTGCCTCTGCTTTGTGAACATATTGGAAACAGGGTTACTGATCCTTTTTCTCTGAAGCTCAAAACACAGAACTTCTACTTGCAACATTTGTCCCACAAGGCCCTAAACAGTCTGTCTTTCCCTCTTCTTGATTGCAAAGCAAGTTATTATACTATGCTATATAATTTAATTGATGCATTGTTAGTAAAAAAAAAAAAAGGGCGTTAAATAGGTTCTACTATATTCAGCTAAAACTGAATACAATATAAACTGAATCAGACATGCTGAAATAGCAGCACATCAGTGTAAAAAGTGCTGACACACCCCACCAACTGAAAAAGCTATTGATAGCTCCAACCTGCAGCAGTATTGACAACTTCATGTTGAAAACATCCATTCAGCAGAATATAATGGTAGCATAAACGGAAAAAGGTCTCATTTTGAATACAAGTTTCACCACAGCAAAGCTCACAGGAATGATACTGCCAGATTTTTCTATTATCATGCATTTCCTCATAACACAACAGAACTAAACTGGGCCATTTCCTGGCATGCAGTTCACGTAATGTGCAGGTTATCTAGATTTTAAACCACTTGAAAATGGTTTAATGCGTTTAAGAATCTGTTGATTCACACAGCACAAATTATATTCCATTCTAAATCATCACTCCAATACTCCAAGAAAAAGAACATTTTAGATCAACATTACAAATGAATGCATTAGATTTTTACAAAAACACACAAAAATTATACAATATTAAAAAATAAACGGCACCAACCAAATATCACTTGACATACTATGACACCTGAAACAAATAATGAGCCATTAGAGGTTGCCGTGACAACCGATTGGTGCGCGATAATAATCTAGTAAACTGTGATTGGTGATTGGTAGAGGCAAGCACTATAAAAATACCAGTTTAGTATTTAGTAACAAAGCTGTATGTTTGGGTAAAAGTTTTTTTTCTGTTTTTCTTTCTTTTTTTATGCCTGGCTGAGAGTAGTATTTGGCTTGATATGGGCACTACTACAGTGCAGATTTTAAGGTATATTTAGTTTATGGATTTGCTGAGTAACTTTTCTATGATTCTCACAACTTTACTGACTGCGTTAAAGTGTTTTGCAGTTACTAAAAGTAAATGTTTTGCAGTTTTTCTTTGGCAGTACTTTTAGGCCTTGGTGTTCATGACAGTATTGTGACTGGTAAGTTTATCTAGTTGAATTATATAATTTTACTTTGTCAACTGTCTTAATGATGTTTTCTGTAGTTGATGGCTATAGCTCTGTCCGCAATGGAGGTGGTCCTGGATATTACAACCCTGATATCCCAAAAAATGGTCAACCCATGGAGGATGTTAAACTACAAGCATTTTACAACTGGTATGGCTTAAGAGATGTAGCAGGACCAATCAGGCCTCTGAGTTCTAAGACCGTAATCTATAGTGCTGGAGTTAAGGGAGGCTATGGTACTGGAAGCTACAGTTCTCAGACTGGGTGGTCAGGTGGTCCAGTGGCAAGTGGAAGTTCTGGTTCAGACACAAGAAGCCAGCTTCAGGACTCTCAACTTGCTTCGGCTGGAAGTGGTAGTGTTGCTCATGGCTCTGTGGGTAATGCAGTAGGTATGGGCATGTCAGGGTATGGCTTAAGTCAGTCAGTTGGCATTCAAGGCTCTGACACTATCCACTCTTTCTTGGTCTTGACGCCATTGCAGCAAAGCACTGATTCTGTTAAGCCAGTGCAGCTAACTTCCCAAATTACTCTGAAGACCAGCAGGGACTCTCAGGCGATGACTGACACTCAACAGCTAGTGCAGACAATCTCCCAGTCCAGTGGTCCGCAACCAGCACAAGCCAGCACTGGAACCATGGCACAGTCTAGCTCCGTGCCGTTAACCCAGATCAGTGGCCAGCAATTAGCACAGGCTAGCTCCCTGTCTGCATGGCAGTCACGCAGAAAGCCTCTTACGCCTCTAAGAGATCCATTTTGGCGACCTGGTTCCAAGCTTTTTTCAGGTTTCAGGCCAGTTCAGAATCCAAGCTTTGGATTTTTCGTTCCTTTGCCCACCCGAAATGAATCCGTGTCACAACCTAGCTACCAAATAGTGCAACACAGCAGTGAGTTGAGCAGCCCTCCGGTAGCTCAGACTAACGATGCACTTGTGAGTCAGTCTTTCGGCCAGCAATTAGCCCAGTCCAGTGGCCAGCAACCAGTACAAACTAGCTGTGAAACCGTAGCTCAACCAAGTATCCAACAACTAGCAAAGGCCATCCAGCCTAGCAGTGAACCATCAGCACAAGCCAACTTTCAGTCTATGGCCCAGGCCAGTAGCCAGCAACTAGCACAGGCCAGCTACCAATCTGTGGCCCAGCCCAGTAACCAGCAACTTCCACAAGCCAGTTCTCAGCCCAGTGGACAAATACAGGTCCGCTATGTGTCTGTGGCTCAGCCCAGTAGCCAACAACTAGTGCAAGGAAGTGGCCAGTCTGTAGCCCAGGCATCCAGCCAGCAGCTAGTTCAGGCCAGCCAATCTGTTTCCCAGTCCAGTGGCCAGCAACCAGCAGGGGCTAGCTATATATCTGTGGCACAGCCCAGTAGCCTGACTCTTTTCAAGCCCAAAAAAGGTAGTCTTCAATATGGCTCCAAGCTCTTTTCTGGTACCAGGCCACTCCAGAAACCGAATTATATCTCAATTGTTCAGTCCAGTAGCCTTCCAGCACAAAGCAGCTACCCATCTGAGTCTCAGGCCAGTGTCCAACAACCAGCACAAGCCAGCTACCAGTCTGTGGCCCAGCCTGCTTTCCAACAACCAGCACAAAGCAGCTACCCATCTGAGTCTCATGCTGGTATCCAACAACCAGCAGAAAGCAGCTACCCATCTGAGTCTCATGCCGGTATCCAACAAGCCAGCAACCAGTCTGTGGCCCAGATTGCTTTCCAACAACCAGCACAAAGCAGCTACCCATCTGAGTCTCATGCTGGTATCCAACAACCAGCAGAAAGCAGCTACCCATCTGAGTCTCATGCCGGTATCCAACAAGCCAGCTACCAGTCTGTGGCCCAGATTGCTGTCCAACAACCAGCACAAGCCAGCTACCCATCTGAGTCTCACGCCAGTATCCAACAACCAGCAGAAAGCCGCTACCCATCTGAGTCTCAGGCCAGTTTCCAACAACCAGCACAAGCCAGCTACCAGTCTGTGGCCCAGCTTGCTGTCCAACAACCAGCACAAGCCAACTACCAGTCTGTGTACCAAACCGTTAGGCCACTGGTTGCACAAGTCGGCAGCCGACAGTCACCAGGAGCCAGCTACTCTGTGGCTCAGCCAAGCAGCCTGCAAGGAGCACAATCCTGCTACCAGTCTGTGGTCCAGCACGGCACCCAAATGGATTTTAAGCCAGTGCAGGCCCAAGGGGGACACATTTATCAGATTGGCTCCAAACTTTATTCATGCCAGGAGTATGTATCACAGCCCAATTACCAGCTTGCAGCCCAACCAGGACAGAATGGGTATCCGCGTCCATCCAGACTAGTATCTTCATTCTTAGCTCAGCACATCAAACCTGTCGTACAACATGGATACAGGGTCCCAGTAAAGCCTGGGCAGGGCACCCATGTGTCTGTGGTGCCACCCAGCAGACATCCTGGACCACTGCAATCAACACTCCTGTCCGCTTTCAGACCAGCACAGCTGCTGGAACAGCCTAGCTACCAGCCTCCAGTCCTTCCAAGCCGACCGCCTCTAGCTAAGCCTGCACTGCCTAGTTATGGTTCTGTATCACAGCCCAGTGGACCTAAATCTGGAACTTTGAGACTATTGCAACAGCCTGGCTACCAGCCTCTGGCCAAGCCAGGGCAAGATGTGCATCGGCCCCCATTTAAGCCAGCACCTTCCAGCTACCAGCCTCAAATGTTGCCTAGCCGCCAGTCACTATCCCAGTCTGGTTACTCTTCCCCAGCCATTCCAGTGCAGTCTAGTTTCGAGCCCCAGGTACAGTCGAATTATGAATGAAACCATATCACAGCCTGGGTTCTAGACCTCCTATGCTTTGGCAGTCAAGTTACCAAACTGTATTCAGATCATGTTCCCAATCCCTGGAGCAGCCCAAGTAGTCTCTTTTTCAAATTCTGTGTCCGAGTCTGTGCAACCTGGAATTCGGTATTTAGCACCGTTGAATTATCTGCCTGTCACAAACCAAAATGCTCCTGGACCAGCTCAAAGTAGCCAGTGTTCGTACCAAACCAGTTTCAGGCTTTTAAAATGAGTGAAGTCATAGCCATGTACTTGTGTCTGCAGATTCCTGGTTTTGGCTTGTTTGCTTTTAAAGTTTTGAAAGTGTCAATAAATGTCATTTAGCATGTATCTTTGTGTGGATTTCTTACCTTTTGTTGGTAGTTGACGCATCTGTAAAGAAAAGGGGAAAATGTGAATTATTTTACATAATCTAGTAGTTTAAGTTGGCTAGTAAGTTCCACTGAACATTAAGACTTCCAAAGTTTAAGCAGGTGTATATGCCAAAATGGTAAGTTCTTCAGCTTATGTATAGCAAAAGCTTGCCTTGAAATGGTAATATTTCCCTAGCATGTATTTTAGTTATTCCCAATACTAAAAGGTGTTCCTAGGTGAATTATAATGTGTGGAAATGACAACGTAGAAACTTACTAGTCTTGTAATAACTGATACACTCCTGACCAGCAGGAGAAACTGCAGAGATTGCTTGGGATAAATTATCAGAATGTTTTTCCTGAGTCACTTCCAAGTCACTTGAATGTGTCTGATGCTCACTGCATTTTGCCGTTTCATCTCCAGAGGTAGTTTTGCATTTCTGTTTGCTGATCTCCTCTTCAAAATTATTTTTTTCTTTCTGCTCTTCTTCCTCATCCTTTTCCAGGTACTGGTTAGCTGTGGACATAGGCTCTGTAAAAAAGGAGTCTCAAATGGTATTTTGTACATCACACTACACTGCATGTAGGTCTTTTACTTGCACTTCTATAAAGTGTGTGTGTGTATATATGATTAAGGTGTGTGTGTATATGTGTAAGGCATGGATTTATGACAATTACATCACCTACTGTTTGGCTACACATTGAAAAAAAGTTATTGTAAATTGTTATTGTATGAATTGCAAGTTTGTGTATCACTTGGGCATACTATTTTGGATCAACACTATATGATTGTTAAAATTGTCATCAAATTGTAATTATCGGCAACCCTGCTTTTTTCCTCCCCCCTTGTAAACCACTATGCACAGTTGATTAGACCGTCTTTAGTTATGTCTATACACTGTCAAAAAATAGCTTAATTTAATGAGTTGCACCATTTAAGGCAAAATACTGCCTCATCCCACATTTGGCAGTTTAATGACCTCACAATTGTTTCCTTTGCTGGCACAGTTCCATGCAGTGATACATCTGCTGATATTGCCTTTTGATAGATGACCTCAGTATCCACAAGGACATGATTGTACAGGAATTACTTTGATTATTTTAAACTATAGGGATAAGGGAATAAATTACAGATAAGGTTTTATGTGCAAAACACAAATGATGTCACAACCAGGCATACAAGGCAGAATAGCAATTGTGTTGTTTAATTTATTATCCAAAATCTGTTTGCCATGGAATATTATAAGCTTAAAGGACTACAAAAAATTGGTTTCCATAAAGGTACAATAAGATTTTTTTAAATCTACATTCTTAGACAGTAATGCATCACTAATTAACCCCATTAGGCAGGCTCACTAGAATCAATAATTAAGTGTATGTCTTGTACAATAGACACCATCACTTTGAGCCAAGATCTGGTTGTCTGAAAACCTAACTACATATTATTTACCTATGTTTATTCAAATACTGAATCCGCTACAAAAATGCTAATGTAATATAGAGAGAGTATAAACACCAGACATGTTTTTCAGAATATACCCTATTCATGTGTGTCCATTCTGCTAAAGCCATTGTGTCCAAGGCCTTCTGTCCCTTACAGTGGACCACAAACACAGTTTCTCAAGCAAGCCTACTTCATGTTACACCACACACAATGGCACTCTTGTGATGAGACCTTGGAACAAACTCACAAAGCGTTTCTGCATTCATCACTGAGGAACGCCTGGCTGTTTGTTAGATCACAAGTCAAAAGGTCAGTGGTATGTGACGTGAGAAATGGTGGGACCAAGCACTGCTAAAGAGAAAGGATCATCTGTCTCCAATATTTCATTCATTTGTTAACAATGTATGACATGACAGTCTCAACCAAAGAGAATCACAGGAAATTGACATCATGACGATGCTGATTGGCTGATGGCACCACAAATGTGCACAGTCCCCCCAAAAATGCTTAAAACTTTTTAATGCCAATCGTAATGCTGCATTACACCATGAGAAAATAAGTTTATTGTCTGGTTCATAAAAATATACGTTTGAGGCAGACTGGAATTGACTGCACATTAGTTAAGACCAATCTGCATCAATATTCAAAGCACAGAGCATGGATATCCAGAACCTCTGACAGTTGTGGTTTATTGGGAGAACTAACCCTAAAAAGTATCATGGAAAATACATTTTTAAAAAATCAATAAAAAAATCAATTGTTTCAGTATTCCGATTAAATTAATAACTCATCACAATATTTTAGGAGAAACATCTGAGACAAACTTAATTTTGAAACATACCTGAGAACTCCATGAAGTCTACCAAAATATGAAAGTCAAACCAGTAATATTTTCCTTGGGGGCAGTGTAAATGTGTTATTTACCTGAACTTGGAAGAACATTACTGCAAAATATCTTGTAACTGTGTAAACTGTTCTTGGCTGTTCATGTTGTAAAGCATATGTTGTTCTGTTTCCACTCTCTTGAAGAAGTGTAGCACCCTTAATAGTGGGAATTTGTGAAGAGATGTTATGCTAAACTTATTTTATATACCAGATTTCAGTAAAGATTATTTGCTCTTGATATGTCTCTTCTGTCTTCCCAAAGACAATACAATATTGTAGCGTCTGCGTAGGATCATGCTGGAGTGTTGGACTGTTTATGGCTTAAAAGACCCTTTTAGCCTTTTGACATTTGCATATAAATTACAGTTCTGGTCAGAGATGTTACTTGTATAGGGGTTGTAAATTGCCAAATGGTTCTTCGCCGTCAAAAAGATTCGTCATAAATATTCCCCTTTTTAGAGCTAATAAATAATAATAAACGTTACAATATATTGAAGTTAAGTTTAAAATCTTTTTAATTTCATTTGTAACATTTAGAGTTTAAATTCTTTAAGAATAATACAAATGTAATATATGTAAATGTATTTAATGTACTTGTATTCTCTTGAATAGAAAATTCAGAATAGAATGCTTACCTTTACATTTCATTTTTATTGATAGGTAAATCAAAAATAAATATGATTTACCATGCTGTTCCCTGCAACATCAATACCTGTCTGTGTTTGCATCTGCCTAATTTGCCTAATTTGAAAAATATTGATTGGATTTTTTATGTCAACCCCAATAAAATAAGAAGTATGAAGTGTTTAATCAATAGGCCTACCTCTCTGGAGGGAAAAAACTAACTATAACCTACTACATCTTCTACCCCCTGGTGGATTATTCACACTCTTTTTTTTTGCGTCATTCCCAGAATGTTCTGTCATGATGTATGTCTGCTGATTTTTAAAACAGCAACAGCAACATAACAACAGCATTTACATTGTTATTGATTGATATAAGAATATTCACAGCATTGAAGCAACTTTTGTACTCTATTATATTACATATTTACATTTGTGTTGTTTTCCCTGCAGCCTTCAACCCATTTTTGAGTTGCAAACCACCAGCTGACAACCACCGGTTCTTGCTAATAAAACTATGGAGGCAACAGTGTATCAACGCAAGGAGGAAATGTCCTTTTCCGCTTCTTATCAGTATCCCAAGAGTCTGTCGCGTTGAATAGCTGGAGTTAAAACAAGACAGCTCAGAGATAGGCTGACAGTGATTCATGATGTCATCCTTGTCCACAGGGTATTAAATCAGGACATAAATATTAAAATACAGTATGTCAGATAATAAAATAAGGTTGTGTTGCAACTTGTGACTGTTGTTTGCACGTGTATTTCTATCTTCCACAATCTCCTTTCTTAATTTTAGCAGGATGTATGAACAAAAACACCAGTGCGTTCTGACTTAATGGCCGGTTCAATGGAACTATTCTATTTAAACTGCAGGATGACTATGTCCACACCTCTACATGTCCTCTATTGTCACAATTGCACATACTCAGAATGTGCCAGGTCAGCAGTGGCTGATTCTGCAGACCACAGGCATGCAAGGATGCATTATTCATGCTTGGGGTTGTCTATAATTCACTTTTAAATTAATAGTTGACAATAATTGCCAAGCTCCACCGTTTTATTCGTTTTAAAGATGCTTAAACCATTATCCATGCTTTTGTCACATCCCGCCTTGATTATTGCATTGCCCTTTTCAGTGGTTTACCTGCCAGGTCCAGGTTACAGTATATTCAAAATTCTGGTGCTAGACTACTCACCCACACCAAGCACTCTGCCTACATCACTCCAATTTTGTTCAATCTCGACTGGCTTCCTGTTGCATATCGTATTAAATACAACATTTTCCTGCTCACTTTTAAATTGTTGCACACCCTGGCTCCCCGGTATCTCTGTGAACTGCACCTCCCATACATCCCAACTCACTCATTACGCCCCTCTGATTCTGGTCTACACCCAGACTTTGGAACTCTCTCCATCAATCTCTTAGCTTGTCAATACTATTCTTGAATTTAAATCACTTCTTAAAACTCGTGTTTGTTTATTATACTGAGGTTCTTCTTTTCTAATTGTATCTTCACTGTAAAGTGACCTTGAGCACTGGAAAGGCGCTATATAAATCAAACTTATTATTATTATTATTATTACTATTACTATTATTATTATTATAGTATGTTAAAGTCAGGATGAAATGAGAGTTTGGTCAATTTATTTAAATGCATGTTATAGATCTTGTTGTAAACCATTTTTGTGTGCATATATTTTTTATTTAGGAAAAAAATCTTTGAACTAATAATATTTAAAGCAGCTTCACATTAATAAGCAACAAAAAAACATTATAATATAGTAAAAATTCATAAATTATGAAATGTTTCAAAGTTCATAAATTATGGAACAAACTCAGCTCGAATCAGTTCAATCTTGATTCAATTCAGTTCAATAAGTGTCAGTGTTACAAAGTTAGTCATCGTCTAGCTCAATTCAGTTCAAATTTTGTTCTCATCTGATAAGTGCTGATAAATCATAACTGGACCTTTCAATGAAAATGACAGGCTTCTCTGTCATACTCTCCAATCAGCTATTGTTCATTTGCCTTTATTTAAAATCTATCAACAGCTGGTATGTAAAATCAAGTCGCACATTACATTTTTCCTTCTTCTTTTTTTTTTTTTTTTTTTTTTTTTGGTAGTTATAGTCAGATTATCGGCACAATACAAAAAATAAATAAATGTAAAAAAAAAAACATCTGTTGCTACTTCTGTTTCACTGCAACTTTAAAATAAAATGCAGTCACCATGTGTAAATGACTGGAGCAAGGAATTCCATTGGCCACCTGATAATAGTGATGCCAAAACACATATAACCATAAAACACACAACAAAGTGAGTCATGTAACATGTCATTGTTCAGTCAGATTGTCCATTCACATCCTCAAACCTTCAAAGCATGATGTGGTTTGGCATGCACAAATTCAAAAGATCTGTTCAGTTCTGCCTTTACGTCTATAGAAACAATCACATAAAAGCTCAAGCTCCTCTTTCACCATCTGAACATATAGTGTTTCGTGTCTCTCATGTAGTTGCGTAATGTGTTCTCAAACAGGGCAGAGGGCTTCGTACAACACCTTTGACTTTCTGAAGACTTTCTCACACGCCTCAGGGTGCCAGACGGAAACCTTCAAATTCTCATTAACATGTGGTCGAAGCAGGCCCAAAACCCCTTTTGGATTGGAGAGACCACTGACAGGGTGCGTTTCTACTGCAGCTCTCTCGGACATGCATGGACTGCTAACGACGCTGAACTGTCATAGAGAAAAAGGAGGGAAATGTAACATGGCCTATTTTTAAACTATCTAATTCTGGAAGCGTAAAAGGAAGTCAGTGAATGTTGAGTGGCAGCTAGATGCAGATTAGGAGTGCTGGGGTTGTGAGGCCCCTCAGTACTACACAAAGTGTGTGATTATGGATTTTATGTTGGAATTAGTCCATAAAAGCTGCTCTAATTTATCTCTAAATCAGATATGTGGTCATACATAGAGTTTGAAAATATTCAACAATTCCCAGTTTGCGTTTAGCACCTCAGAGTTGCATTTGTGTCAGAAGTTCTGCTGGTTAGCAATGGGTTAAAGGCATAGTTTACCCTCAAAAATCATTTCCTAACCCTCATATTGATTCAAAGCTCTTTGACTTTCATTCTTCTGTAACAGAGAACAAGTGGATATTTAGAAAAATGTCTCAGTATGGGACTTCCACTGTATAGGCAAAACCATTTGAAATTTATCAAAATATCATCTTTTGAGTTCCACTGAAAGTCATACAAGGTCTGGGATGACGTGAGGGTGAGAAGGGTGAAAATTTTCTTTTTCTCTTTAACGGCCTGTGAGAGGGTTTAGGGAGGTTTATAAGATCCCACTGTTTCCCAATGAGCCACTGAAATTAGGGAGAGTGCACAGCCGCCTCTTCTCCTACCCCCACTCTAGAGAAAAGACCCCTTTTCATGGTGCCCCTGCCTTTGTTGCATGAACGAGAAGCAAACTTAGAGCATTAGTGTGCACAAGAAAAGTGAAATTGATAGACCAATAAACAGTACAACTCACCTATTTGTCCTCAGTAGTACTTCCACAGGAAAGCTTCAGCACCTCCCAAGAGGGACTTTAATCCCAACAACCTCCCCTGCACTTCCTGCTATGAAATCAGCTGCCTCCTTGAACACATCCTCATCCTCCGTTAATCCGCTGCTGCCGGACTGAGGCCTCTGAGAGGGCGGCAAATACCCTGTGCTGTTTACTTTCCCACAGGCAGCAAGTTCCCTACTCCATGCACTAACCGCTTCACTCCTCCTTGCTCTAGTAGGCTGAATGAGCCCCCCTCTTCCCCCGGCTTCTGTCACTCCCTTCTTTCCTTCCCTCCCCTGCTGTTGGACAGTTACAGCCCTTCTGAACAAGTATAATGGCTGTTAAGCTCCACCAATGGCTGAGCTGTTGGCAGACTTGTCGTCCAATTAAAGTCAGGTTAGATGACCAAGGGGCAGGGTCTAGAGAGCTAAAGGGAAAAACAGAGTAGGACAAGCCTGGAAGGGAGGGAGAGAGAAAGACAGAAACAGAGACAGGGATTACACCAACTCTAAGCTGGCCAAAAGTGGAATCAATAGAATTAGCTAAGTGGGTGACCATACCACAGTATTGTGCAAACTCTGCAAAACACAATATTTCAATATTATAGATATTTCACATTATATACAGTATATATATAAAGGATATGTTACATGCAGTGCAATATACAAAAATGTTATACCATTTTATAAATTAGATAAAAATTCATAATTTATAAATAAATTATGTCTTTGAAAAGCATTTGAAATAATAAATTTTGAAAAATACTTTTTGAAATTATTATTTTGAAAAACATTTGTACTGTTCTGTAAATATATATACGGAAGTTCTAAGCGCCCATGCATTATTTTTTTTCCCTTGTTTTCTCGTTATAACGACGTATTTTCTCGTTATATCGACATAACGAGAGTTAACGAGAGAATAATGCATGGCCGCTTAGAACTTCCGTACCAATATGCTTAAGGTATTGAAAGTAAAGGTATGTACAGTATTGTTCTGAAAAAGAACTTGTCAGGATGGTTTTGCATTAATATTACTGCTGCACTACTGTGTATGTTGCATTTTACTTATGAATATGTTCAAGGTTGTTACATTTAAAGTAGCCTACTTCATATACTGTTGGGTAGTTTAAGCTACAACAATGCATCATGTTGTAAAAGACCATATTTAGTGTTGCTGTCCTGTGGAAAAAAAAATAAAAATTATCGTACACATTTGTATGAGAATACTTAAAGAATGTACTTCCTAACAGTCCACCACTGATTATTTTGAAAATGAAACTAACAACATTTATTGTCAGAATTTTAACAAATCGTTGCTAACTACAGCTGCGTCCCATATCAAAGGCTGCATCGTTCAGAAAACTGTTCAGTTGTGACAGATGCCACTGAACAATGCTCAATTTTTATTTTTATTTACAGTTTTATTTTTATGGTTAACTGCCTAAAAACCAGGGTTGCAAACCTGCCTACATGTGGTCACCATGGTCAAGACAATAAACTAAAATCACACCTTTGAAAGATATCAGCTGGCATTGGAACTGCTGTGTGTTTGTGTGTGCGTGTATTTCTGTATTTTTTCATATGTATCATTATATTATTCAAGTAAGTTCCAACCCAATACCTGCAATTTAAAGTTGTCCGGCAATTAAGGACGCAGCTTCTGAATTCGGACGCAGCAAAACCAGTGTAACTTGCATGGCCATGGTCTTGAGGTACATCACCCAGTGCCAACATTCCCACCATCTCCTCCATTATGACGTAAAACATAAAAACAAAAATCCTTCATTCAGCTGAATTTGAAGGATTCTTAACAAACTTTAATCACCCACAATCCTTTGTACACATTTCATTTCATGAAAATAAACTGACAAAAAAGGAGTCAGTACTGTCTGAATTTATTATGACATGTAAGACAAAAATAATGTTTTCGGACATGACAGCATCCAGGGCTGCCCAAACTCGGTCCTGGAGGGCCGGTGTCCTGCAGAGTTTAGCTCCAACTTGCCTCAACACACCTTCTGGTAAGTTTCTAGTATGCCTATAAGAGCTTGATTAGCTGGTTCAGGTGTGTTTAATTAGGGTTGGAGCTAAACTCTGCAGGACACCGGCCCTCCAGGACCGAGTTTGGGCACCCCTGGCATAGACGTTATCTTTTCTTTTAGTGTAAATTACTTAAACAGCCAATAATGTAAGCCACTGGGAGACTGTAGACAGCTGTGATTCAATGTATTGCATTAATTGAAAACCAAATAATAAAAAAGATTTGTAATGCAAAGTATTTTTCCAAAACTAAGTTTTGTTAGTATTTTTGGGCCGTGACGGTGACGGTGACAGCACTTACTAGACCAGTGCTTCTCAAAGTCCGGATCCAGACCCGGAGGGAATTCAGTCCGGACCGCCTCCATTTCCTATTTCAAGAACACTAATTTCCTACTTTGATAAACGCATGTTAAACTTGTAAATCATATGTTTCGTTTTTTATTGTCTTTTTGGGGATGTTCCGAAATGAAAGCGAAGGCGAGATATTGAAACTTTTCCTTCATGACATTAACGTTAGTTGTCATGACATCCAGTGTTTGACATAATCTGACGACTTTTCACCGCTAATATGAGTACTTTTTTTGTTTTGTTATCACTTAGATTATTGGCATTTGACTTATAGCAGTGTCCAGTGTTTCCCATACATTGAGTTATTTGTGGCGACCCGTCACAAAATCAAAACTGACCTAGATTTTCCAAAAGGATTCTAACTGTTCTTTGAATAAACTGAGCACTGCACATTTCAAAATTAAAATGCAACGCGGGTGTTTTTATATGAATGTATAATTGAAAAGAACCGACCGTCTTCAGAAAAGCTTTGATGTTATTTTCATTTTGATTTTTGAGTACAGCCGTTACCGGGGAAACCGCTATATCTCCGCTCCTGCTGGCAGAGAATGAATTTGCATGTGCAAGTCTGTGGGAAACACTGGTGTCTGTCAACAAACATAAACAAAAAGCATGCTTCAGAACTGTTTTAAGAAGGTGCTTTGAGCCATGTATTATTACTATGAATTAGGCTACTACTACTACTAATAATAATAATTATTATTAGTTAAATTATTATTATTATTACTACTAATACTACTATTACCATCTTGTGCCCTGCAATAATAATTTACTCAAACTCGGTTTTATGAGATAAAGGAAAAAATAAATAAATAAATCGGCCAAACATATCGGCCAAAAAAATCAGCATCATATATCGGCCATGGGCTGCCCTGATTTCTAAATATCGGCATCGGCCAGAGAAAAACCCTTATCGGTCGACCTCTATTGCTGACACTTAAATTAATTGTTTTACCACTTTTGCACTTTATTTTTATTTTTTTAAATGAATGTTTATTTGTTATGCATGTTATATATGTTTATTAAAAACAAGTTCCCTTTCATGGGAACTTCGAACTGCGTCCTCTAGGGGTCACTTTGGGGAACGCCTCGTCGTGACCCGTGTCTGAAACATACATTGAAAAAACACCAACTCGTTGGCCGGCGACAGCCATGATGTCACTACCGGTGCGACTATAGTATAAATAGGCGCCGGGAGCTACACATCATTCTCTTCTCCGTCTTCATTGAATGTTTTGTTTGAAGTGTGCATTTCTGTGGTAAGAGCGATCTCTATTTATCTCATTATGGCGAGCACTAGCAAAGCATTTAAGGATGTGTGCATCCAGGTTGACGATGTTTAACATCTGATGACACACACGATCTATGCGTTGTTTTGTTTGGGCAAAGAGCACGCACGCGATGTCTCCGAGGGGGCAATCGGCGTGTACTGCGAGCGTTTTTTCCAAGAAAAAAAAAAAAGAGAGAAAAAGCTCCGCTCTCATTTGACTCTCTTTTCGAGGACAGAGGGGCAGCCCGCGATCCAGGACCCGCCGCTGCTGAGGCACGGAAGGGAATGAGCTCGTGGGGATCGAGTTTGAAGGGGGGTTTCCCTTTAGTGATCGTCGGCTGTGCATGAAAGTGAGCCGCTGGAGGATGATGTTATTTCATTTACATTGTCTGATTCAGGGGCCATTGCTCTGCTGGGATCAGCCCAGCAAAAGCAGGAAATAGCTGAGGAGGGCAAAGAAGCTGAGGCTGAGCCTTCCCAATTCTCCTGCCCTGCATATGATGAGCTTTTGGAAATTATGGATCGCGCCACGGCGAGGCTTTACTTGCCGTGAAGCGGGTGAAGAAGTGATGTCGTGAAATATCTCGATGAACGTTATTTTTCTGGCCATAAACCCTCCAGCTCAGGTGAGCCTTCCTTTCTTCCTGTTTTTTCATATAAAGATTGAGAAGGAATGGAAGAGGCCGTTTTTCTTCACGCATCCATCGATTCCAGCATACAAGTTATACCAACATCGATGCGATGCGCAAAAGCAGTTATGAGAAGATGCCCCTATAGAGAGACGCT